CATTCGATTTTGCCTATTCTAACGGTGGTAGTAGAAAGAGTCCGCCAAGAACTGGAGAGTTTACCTCAGGAACAGGCGATGCGGGATGACCCGAAAGTCGGGCTACAATGCTAACCCGCGCGATAGCCAGTGCAGGAGAGTAGCGGCAGACAGCGGGCAAAACAATGGACGAATAATTATTTGGAGAGAAAGAACGCAGGCCCGTCCGATCCTCAGACAACTGCGGTTTTCTGAAGGAGGTCGCCACTACCAGCAGAGTGTTTCCGGCTGGGGTAATCGCCACCTGACTGTATGACATTCACTAGAAGTGTACCACAGTGGGACATGGTTTATCACAAAGGCTACTACAACGTGCTTACGGGGAGATTGCGAAGGCAGTTGCTGCATACGGATGTTGGCGGCTATCGACTGTTACAGACTGCGTCAGGCTATCGTGTAGCTGCAGTTGGGGTTGGGAGGAAGCTGCAGCGACAAGGTAGGGAAGGTGATTGGGATAAGAGAAAGGCTACTGCCACAGCTCGGAAAGGTGGGGACGACAGGGGCTATTGCTGCAATTTTGGGGTTCGCCAGGAGAGTGAAGTTTGGCAGTTGACTCCAGGTTGACGAAGCTGTCACATTGGCTGCCATTGCGGGGCTCTCAGGCGTATCAAGGCAACTAGGCCCTCTCCTGAGAGTTGAGTCTGTCCCCCTCCTCTATCTCGAGAGTCTGAAACCCCTACTTCTACTGTTCTTACTCTCAGTCTAATCCTGGTTATGAGAGGAAGGCGGCAGGCGGGATTGCAAACCGTAGGACCGCAGCAAGACTCTGTGGGGAGCCATCCCACCGATTGCGAGAGCCCTGCCGGAACTCAGGAGGGGTTCTGGAGGCAGAGAACTGAAAGGTAACCATTGCTTTCTTTCTATAAACCCGGTATAACCCTTATCTGTACTCTCTATGGCGATTTGACTGAGTATATTGCATGCATCCCTATTTTGACTTTCAGTTTGACTTTCAGGATAAACCAGATTAAATAAAGGAATGTCTGCTTAATCCCAGTTTCAACTTTATTGATGATATGAAAGCAGATTGTAAAAAGGGAATGCATCTGGGAAAGGGCAGAATGGAAAACTGTTTTGCATGAGGGTTGACTGGGTCATTAAGGCTGGAAGGTCCCCATAGGTTTGGGGAGACCCAATGCCTTGTTTTATTTTCGGTTGCGTGGAGCGTCAGACCCTTCTATAAGTTTAGGGGGTCTGATTGCTCTGGAGGCTGGGATGTCCCCATAAGTTTGGGGAGACCCTGTGCTGTGGTTTGCATGGAGGGTCAGGCTGTTTTATAAGTTTAGGTGGCATGGCTGCTCTGACTTGGGAGGACTGACTGTGGATGACTTTTCAGGAACCAAGCGCGTTCTGTAAGTTCAGGTGCCTTGGTCGCCTTGTTTATCTTGGGTTTTTCTATGTTTATTCAGTTCTGAACGAGGAGGTCTAAGTTGTTCTATAAGTTTAGGTGGCTTACCCTCTTCCTGCTTTTATTGAAAGAAAATGAACCTGGAAGAGGGCAGATCGTTCTATAAGTTCAAGTGATCTAGCCCAATGCCACGCACGGACTGGATCAGAAAGAAATTAAGCAGGCAGAGAGCCAGACTGTTCTGTAAGTTCAGGTGGTCTGCCTCAAAGCCTCGTACATGCTGGAACCCAATGGTTATAACTTGGTTATACCTTACTATTATTTTATTTTAAGAACGAGCTAATCAGACTGTTCTATAAGTTTAGGTGGTCTGACTATAGCCTATCACAACTTGAAGAGAGTATAATTAAGAATAAAATTGATGGTAAACAGGGGCAGACTGAACTTAAGTTAGCTCAGTCAGATGCTGCCTTAGAAGACAAAGGGAAGACAGATATATATAACTTGGATATTTTAAACAGTACAGGGCGACTAGAATGGTCTAGTCGTATGCCCAAAGAAGAGAGACCTCTGTTTTGTGTATACTCTTTGGCTAAGTTAGGTTCATTCCATAAGTTTGGGTGGCCTGACTTTATGATTTATGTAAGCAGGGTATAAAGGCTTAAGTTACTGAAAGATTATGAACTATTGTTTGTCCAGATGAACTGGGGATGGTGAGAGTACTTACCTTCGTGGTTTGGCCTACATGTGGTTGAGTGAGATGACTACCTGATCTGAGTTTCAGTTTGGTAGGTAGTTGCTTTAGATGCTCGCCACGTGCCAGAGTGATAGGAGTTAGTTTCAATTCCTGCATTTTCTGTGATAGCTTTCTTTACTTAGGTCAATTCTTGCATTTTCTGGGATCATTTTTTATACTTGGCTTTGTATAAATCTTGGCAAGCTACTTTCTTTACGGGAAGCGCTGCCGAAATTTCTACAAATCCAAGGAGTTAGTCAATTTTTGACTTGTCAAAGTTCAACTTGTCTTTTCTTTGTATCTGACTTAGTAAAAATCTGGAAAGTCTCCTTTTCTAAAGGGATTGCTGCCCAAATTTTCACTAATTCAGGGAGTTAAAAAAAAATTGCACTTTGAGAAGTCAAAGTTAGTTTCAAAAACTTAGCTTTGTATAAATCTTGGACTAGCATTTTTCCAAAGGGAGTGCTGCCGAAATTTCCATAAATCTAAGGAGTTGATAAATTTTGTCTTGACAGGAACTCGAGTTATTCTGAGTTCAAATTTGAGATAGTATAAATCTGGGAAGTCTCATTTTTTAAAGGGAGTGCTGCCTAAATTTTTATTAATTCAAGGAGTTAGACAAAATTTAACTTTCTTGAGTTAGAGATTATTTCTGCTTTTATTTTTGAGCTTATATAAATTCTGGAAATGCATTTTTTCTACGGGAAGCGCTGCCGAAATTTTCTTAGTTTAAAGGAGTTAGATTATATTTCGACAGGTGGCGATTCTGGTAATCCACCTTGGATAGGGGAGATTATGTCATGAGTCTACCTTTCTTTGGGCGCTGGATTAGAGGTAGTAGACTTAGGCTTAGCTATTAGGAGAGTCTTGAGTAAGAACGTTTCATGGGGATTTGATCTCCATACATTGGCGATTTAGCTTGGACGTTGACATGTCGTATGATACAGGTTTTCTTTGGACATTCGATTCAGGATTTTGACTAGTTTCAGCTTGATCCATCAAGAATCATTTTTTGTTATTACTGATAACAGATCGGTTGGTTGATCGCCTACTCGTCGGCTCACGACACAACTTTGCTTACACTTGTACCTCAGCCTGATTGCCTTAGCCCTGAGGTTTGATATGTTTCTTTGAGGGTTTAACCGAGCTTCTTTTAATGGTCATTATAAAGGATTGATGTGATTTATGGAAAACGGAACATGGGATGGGGCTTGAGTGTGAGGCGTGGTGCGAGTTACAGGGAACAGCGAGGTTGACCACATGGGTGTGTGGCAATGTGGTTGTTTTGTGTGGTTGTGTCTTACGCATGTGAGTGTTATTGGAGTCTGTGTACGGGTTCACTTTGGAGGCAGTGAGAATGACAACCATGTGTCGCGCGATCTGCATACCTGATGGGTCTATTTTCCTCTTCCTTTGTTGATATCTTGATATCTAATTTGATATATAAGTGGTGGGATGTTTATTTATTTATTGGATGATTTTGTTTGTTAATTTTTATAGTTGGACGTTGTAGTCCGTGGCAGCCGTCAAAGTCAAACCCCTTGACTTTTGCCCAGGCTTGGAGTGGGGCTCATCTCCAGGGCAGTAAGAAACGACTGCCACCACAGGTATGGACCTGTGTACCACCCACTCTGCACAGAGTGCAGAAGAGGGTGTGTGGTGTTCAATCGCGCTTGGCGGTTGTCCAACGTCGAGAGATTAACCCTCAAGGCGCGTGTCAGCCGACACTTGAGTGTCGAATGCGACCCTCGAGATTAACGAGGACCGCATGAGTATGGGTACTACATAGTACGCCATCATTGCGACTGCTTGCGTACCTTTGCATTGTTGGTCGATATGAGTAGGCCCTGCGTCCGTGCGGTTTTATACTAAGCCTCGCGCTCGACGCCTATCCGATTTCCGCATCGGAAAGTTATGGGTTGGCTACTAAGGGATTAGGAGTGTTGTCGCGTTGTTTGTGTTGTGTCGTTTTGTATGTGTGTGTGTGTGTGTTTTATTTTTGTGATTCGTAAAGTGGTGTGCGCGTGGTGTGTGGGATGCATCCTAATCGACCGACGACGAGCCGCGCATGGGACATCAGCCCCCCAGATGTCGGTTCGTGTGCGGGTCCGTCGCACACGAACCACAAGTCAGAATCACAGTCTAAGAGTCTGGCATCAATCCTTTTGTGAAAAAGGATAGCTACCCCACCTTTGGACCCTCTCGCGGGGGACCAAAGTTGAGGTCCATCCCACCATTCCTTCATTCCCAGTAGTTTTTCCTCCGACAATTTGGTTTTCTGAATCATTGCAATGTCAATATCTTTCTCATGCAACCAAAATTTCAACCGCTTTCCCTTTTCCCTACCGCCCGAATCACCCAGGTCATGCACGTTCCACGTAACAACTTTTAACTTATTCATTCGTACTCGAAGGACCGCCTGGTGGTTGGGTGTGGTTGGAGACGTCAGTGAGTCTTGCATCGCTGCCTGTTGTCAAGTTATCTGGCCACAGTTCGTTTAATGATTGAGCAAAAAAGGCCGAGGATAAGTTTTGCCAGCAAGGTAATCTGTTCTTCAGATCGTCCAAGATTGTCTCAGGGACCCCTGGATCCACTACCATTTGTGCCAACATCCCTACCGAAGGATCTGAGAAGGCTTGAATAGGAACGCTGGTCAAACCTGCCCGGCTAATGTTAGGCCACTGATCCTCCTGAAACCTAGCGTCGATGAGGGGAATAGAGTAGCGAATCTTTTTCCCTCCTGGCAAATCGACATCCAATTTAGGCATTAATCCATCTGGGTAGATCCGAAAGGAAAAACGATCAACAAACATTTCTTTAACCTTGCGTAAGATCAGTTCTGAAGTTGCCAGACCATCAATCTGTTGAGCCGGGAGAGTCATCTTGCCTTCTTTGTTGACGAGACCAATCACGTGCACAACTTGCGCTTGCATAATACATACTAGCGGTAGTAGCCATCTTTCTTCAAATCCGGCGGCGCCTTCCTCAGGGGAAGGGATGCCACCTGGAACATGACCTGGAGAGGCACCAATCATCCCACTTCCACCCGGGTCCTATGAACCACTCTGTGGGTCCTTACTTGATCTTGCCCCACTTGGTGGATCTCCTTTATGCCATCTCCGTTCATGCCAATAGTGGTACCTCCAATCAGGCCACCCGCTTGAGGTACTGGAACATTGCTTGGACCTGGATAAGCCGCCCGGGGCCTAGAAGGCCCAGCCAGAGATGCTCAGTAACATCCTCCCGGAGGGTTGATGAACTGACCCCCACTGTATGGGTAGTCGCATGGTGGTACCATGGCCCCATTAGCACCAGCCAACCAGCCGCTGAACCGGGGATCTTGATTCAGAGTTTGGTACAGTGCTTGCCATTGGAAAGCATCAGGATGCATTCCTCCTACCAGCGGAAGTAGGGCTGGATGTTGTTGAATCCATGTGCCTTGTTGTTGTTGTTGTACAACTGTCGCCGCTGCATTGAGAGTACCTTGAGGTTGCTGCACGAGCGATCTGCTCTGGTTTCCTTGCGACGACGAGCTTGGTTCGGAATGACCACTCGCGCTTGGATGGACCTCCCTTGCTGCTGCCCAGATACCTCTATTGAGCGATCCATCACCCTCCCCTCTCCGGCTTGTTCCGAAGGTGTTTTCTCTCGCTCCCCTGTTCGGTTGTTGTTCTTGCTGCACTTCCCCTTGTCTCGGACAGTCCTCCATTGCCGTGTGAAAGTACCAATGACACGTATCACACCACGGAGTGTTCTTGCAGGCGAATTTTATGTAATGAATTTCGCCGTCATCCAATTTGATAGGCATCTCCTCTTCAAATCTCTCCTCCGCCTCACGTACCAATTCAAATTTTAAGTTCATGAGCTTTGGTCTAGTTTTGTCCAGTTCCGGAGGAATCGCCTTGATGACTCGGCCCATCGCAGTTTCCACTATGCTCTCCACATGAAACATTACTCGAAGAGGCACCCTTAGTGCCATCACCCAAAATTTAGAATCGTCCTCTAGTCGCCTGCGTTCCTCTAGTTCCGCCTTGGTCAACCAAGGTTTAAACATCATGCCATATTCGATCCCACAAATCGTAACCTTATCTTCTCCTTTCGCAATCATCCACTGAGCCACTTCCCTAGACTTAGCTACATATGAGAGTACGTTTGGACCCTTCCCATGAATTCTACCCCGCTTTATTGACCTGTCAAAGATCCTCTCTCTATACCAGCCATTCTCATAAGCCCGCACCAAATCCTCTCTAGTTCTAAGCGGAAGGTCTCTCGCTTCTCCTTGGAAGATGACCGTCACGGTTCTCTCCTTGAGCCAAGCTGTTACAAGCGTATCTAAGCCTGGTTTGACTTCGAAAAGTCGAATTCCTCCTTCTACCACCCATTCACCATGTCTGAACTTCTCCGGAATGATTCCCTCCTCGTAGCATTTCGCAATGAGCATCTTCATCCGACATGGAGATGTCCGTCCTTGTGGCAGGTGTCGTAGCTCTGCCGTCCCCCTGCGGTGTAGAGGTTCCTTGATCTGCCATCCTGAAGACTGTTTTGTACCCGTCACTTGTCAACGCTAGCTACCGAATCCCACGTCAAAGGCGAGCGCTGTTCAGCGCGCGCCCATTATAACACCAACACAACGAAGATTGCAATCACGACATACCCGACATATCATGCACTACATGAGAAGAAGCTCAACCACGTAGGCCCATCGACGGGAGGACGAAGACCCTCGGTGTTCCCGAGGTTGCGTCAACCCTAATCGCTCGCGCGTCTTGGCGGCGAGTCAAGCGATCGACGATACCGGCCACTACACCGTACGGCCCGGTAGCGCAAGTTCGGAGCGCTGCTGCGCCAACCCCTCGTGCCCCCTCCGCACTGCAACTCTCGCCTTCCTAGTCAAAAAAAAAAGATCGTTTTTCTTTGGAATATGAATTGCAGATAAAAAAGAAAAAAGAAAAGAAAAGACTCTAGGGTTCTCTAGTGGTGTCGAACGAGACCCTAACTCCGGGTAGAATTGTGGGGTCCCCGGCTTCAATTCAATTTGTTCTTTTTTTTTGTTTTGTTTTTTTTTCCCCGAAAAATCAAATTCAATTCAATAAAACCTTGCAAGGAGGCCGGGGACCTCACAATTCAACCCGGAGTTATCCCGGCAGCATCAGCTGGTTTCGCTTACAGCCATCAGGGCTGGGTTCCACTATATCTCACTCGTACTGATATCACTGCAACACACTTAACAACACTCCAGGCTAGACTACCTACCTGTACTTCTATTGTGAAATGAAGCCTACACCTACCCGACTACCTACCAAACCTACGCTAATTTACACAGGCCTATACGGCCTGACACCGGCCTAAGCTGACCGGTTGGAACACACGGCTTCAATTCAATTTGTTCTCATAAAAGACAAAAAAAAAAAGAAAAAAAAAAGAAAAAAAAGGAAAAGAGAGAGAGAGAGACAAAAACAAGGGCACCTTCTTTCACGGTGCAGGGTAGGGGGTGGCGTCTTTTGATTTTTCAAAGAAGTACTGGTGCGTCTTTTGATTTTTGAAACAAGTATTGGTGCGTCTTTTGATTTTTGAAAGAACTACTGGTTCTCCAATCGCGCTTCGTGCACCACGTACGACTTCGTTTCCACATGCCCGACAAAAGAGAGCCTCCCCCGAATCAACGGGAAAGTAGTGGGATCCCGTTTTTCCCAAAAAACTAACACACCTTATAAGAGGTGGGATCAGACCCTTAGTCCCGCTTGCACTCTCTCTCTATCTCCCCCTCCCCGCGCCCTTCCCGCTTTGGTGCTTCGTGGTACGTGGTCCGTGCTTCGGTGCTCTCTCTACGTGGTCCATGCTTCGGTGTTCTCTCTCTTCCCCCCGCACCCCTCCGGCCTGCCGCTTTGGTGCTTCGTAGTATGTGTCGTGCTTCGGTACTCTGCTGTTCGTGAGTCGATGTTCTACGTGAATTTGGTGCTTGTGCTTCGCGAATTCCGTCGTGAATTTGGTGTGCTACGTGCTTGGTGCTTCCGTGAAGCATTGTGGATTCTGTGCTTCATGCTTCGTGCTTTGTCCTTGCTATTTCGTGGATTCGGTGCTTGAAGCATCATCGTGAATTCGGTGCTCGGGGCATCGTGCGCCGGTGGTGATTTCGGTGCATGGTGTTGCGCGCTTCATGGTTCGTGAATCATTCGTGCTTTGTCCTTGCTTCTTCGTGGATTCGGTACTTGGGAGCATCGTGAATTCGGTGCTTGGGGCATTGTGCGTTCGTGATGTGTTCGGTGCATGGTGCTGCGCGCTTCATGGTATGGTTCGTGAATCATTGGTCCATGCGACTTGATGCTCCGCGCTCCGTGCTTAGTGCTTTGGTGCTTCGTGCTGTGTGAGTTGGTGCTTTCCTGAATCGGTGCTTTGGTGGATCGGTGGTTCGTGCGCGCGTGGATCGTGAGAGTTCCTGCTAAATGCTCCAACGTGAGCTTCGACGTGGATTCCTGCTCGAGTGAGTGTTTCTACTTCACCTCGAACCCACACCCCCGACCCCTTTATAAAAAAACATTAAGAAAAACTTGCATTCCTCCTCTTTTTTGGGGAGGAGGTAGATAATGGAGGGATGGGGGTCACTGCGGACAAGCGGGTCAGGCACACACACAGAGAGAGAGAGAGAGAGAGAGAGAGAGAGAGAGAGAGAGAGAGAGAGAGAGAGAGAGAGAGAGAGAGAGAGAGAGAGAGAGAGAGAGAGAGGCACCAGAGGCTCCCCCGGCCCGTCCTCCATTCCTGCCTCGACCCTTTCTCGGCCAGTCCTCCATTCCTGCGTCGACCCTCTCCTCCCTCCCTCACCCCTGCCCCACCTCTGCCCCATCGGCCCTCCCTCCTTCCTCCCTTTCTCCTTCCTTCTTCCCTCCCTCGCCTTCTCCCTCCTTCCTCCGGTGGCGTTACCTTCCTCGGCCCTCCGTCCTCCCCCTCTCTTCGGGCTCCCTTATCTGGTGACGATATATAGAGTGCATTCCGTTTTTCTTAGCTTTCTCAATTTGCGTTAAGGCTTAGCGCCACTTTTTTTTTTCCAATGTGAATAAGGGCGAGCGTGTGCTCTCGCGCGTGCGGTCGTACACAGAC